AGTCTTGGATGGTTCTCACAGTGGAAGGGAAGCCTATAAACTCCGTTCTGGACACAGGAGAGCAACTTTCTCTGTTCTTGGCTCTAGATTTGGCCCCTTTCCCTCTTACAGTGACCATAAGGATCTCTCAGGAGCCCCAGATTAACTCAGATGAACACTGTTCTTGGGACTTGGCATGGTAGCCTCGTGGCTAAAGTCCTCACCTTGAATGCGCCAGCATCCCATATGGGTGTCAGTTCATGTCCCAGCAGCTCTCTGCTTGTGGCCTGGGAAAGCAGTCAAGGACAGCCCAAAGCCTTGGGACCTTGCACCCGTGTGGGAGACCTGGAAGAAGCCCCTGGCTTTGGATTGGCTCAGCTCTGACTATTGCGGTCACTTCCTTTCCAATAAAAATAAATAAATCTTAAAAAAATAAAAATAAATAAATCTTAAAAAAAAAAAAAGACCACTGTTCTTTTCGCCTCCTTCTGAGAGACTGATGCAGAAGTTTGGAACATCTGAGGGAAAGCTGGTTGGCCTGTAACTTCTCAGCCTGTACTACTGGTCATGCTCCCTGCAGGGCTGTGTTTGCAAAGCTCCCTCCTGAATTCTTTCTAGACTTTGCTGGGCTGGGACATCCTGACTGCTCTGATGCAGAGATCATGTCTTCCTTGCTTGTTAAGTCACTGGGCATTTCTCTGCTTACCTACTTAGGACTCTTCTGATCTCCGATTGCCAATACATGGCTTGCCAATACACGGCTTTCTATAGTTTTACTATAAAACTATTTAATTACTGGACTCTGTCCTAAAGTGTATAATGTCTGTGAAAGCTTGCTGGAATGCTATAAACAAATAGGGTATTATAAATCACAAGTCGTTTAAATCTGCCATTTACACTATGATTCATATGAATCCTGTAACAAATGTTTTTGGTTCTATGTTTTATGTTCTAGGCTAAATATCTTCCTGAGACTCTCAGGGTTTACAACAATTGCTAAAGTGTAATTGTTTTAGAAAAATCTAACCCTTGTCTGTTCCCTACCTAGATGCAAAAACTGTTGTAGCATTTTCAAAAGTCAAATGAGTTTAAATAATTATGAGTTGCAATTCTGTATGCTCCCTCAAAAGATTATTTTTCTTAATTCAGAACTGCCAATGTTAGACAAGATGTGACTCAATGGAAGGTTTGAAGTCAACCTTGTAGCATCCTTAGACAACTCACGCCGGTGGTAACACTGGAAAGTCAACCTTGTGTTTAATTATCCCATGCGATGGGTTTATAACCTGAGGCTACACGCCGTCTTCCTCCCTTTCTGTATCTTCTAAATGATCTAGCTTAACTGTTTCGTGCAGCTCAGGGAAGCTTCATGTGTTCTGTGGCCTTTATTGAGTTCATTATTTCAGCATTTGATCCTCAAAGGAGTTAACTTAAGCTGGTAAGTCTAGTCCATAGTGTCAACTAAAGCTCTGGGGTCTAACTTTTACTCTGACAAAGGTTTAAACCTGACAATTCTTTCACATCTGAGCTCTAAAACTCAACATAGAGGTTTCCGGCTGAACTCATGAAATGCCAACCTGGGAGGGACTATACCTGCCTCGTGCTTTATTGTCTAGATTTCTACAACAAGTAGCCTTCAAGCTCTAGGCGGCATTTCAGACACCTGATGACTTACCTTCTTCCAGGGAATGTGAGGAGTTGGATGCGGTAAGGGGCAGTTAGGGTTCCTGGTTCTTGCTAGAGCACCTTCGTAAAAGGTGACGTCTCTTGAAGTGGCTGTCATGAGAAAAGCAAGGAGACACAGTCCATATTAATCCCATCTCTGGGTCACTGTTAAAGAGACGGTGCCTGAGTTTTCTGATGATTTGGGAATGGGAGGAATGGGGGAATGTGGGGAGGAACCCACCAGCCCCACCCCTCTGATGTGCTTCTGGACAAGGTGATGGACATTGTTGCCCATTGCAAATGAGGATTTTTTTTTTTTTTTATCTTTCTGCACTTTGAGATCCTCTCCCTGAGATGGTGAATGAAAGATAACATGTCTACCATCTCTTCAGGTCTTTCCTTGGAGACTTCTCTGTTGCTATGGTAGGGGACCTCTCTCTTTCTCTTACATTTCCTCAGGATTTCCCCCTCCTGTCTGACTCTCTTCAATAAATCTTGCTTTGCACACTGAAAAAACTATTTTATTTATTTGAAAGGCAGTGTTAAAATCTTCCCAAACGGGCCCGGCATGATAGCGTAATGGTTGACGTCCTCGCCTTGAATGAACCAGGATCCCATATGGGCGCCGGTTCTGGTCCTGGCTGCTCCACTTCCCATCCAGCTCCTTGCTTGTGGCCTGGGAAAGCAATTGAGGATGGCCCAAAGCCTTTGGACCCTGCACCCACGTGGGAGACCCGGAAAGAAGTTCCTGGCTCCTGGATTTGGATCGGCACAGCTCTGGCTGTTGCGGCCACTTGGGGAGTGAATCATCAGATGGAAGATCTTCCTCTCTGTCTCTCCTCTTCTTTGTACATCGGCCTTTCCGTTAAAAAAAAATAAAATAAATCTTTTTAAAAAAAATCCTCCCAAATGGCCACAGGGTTGAGCCAGAGTGAAGCCAGGAGCCAGAAGTTTCATTAGGATCTCCCACATGGTTGCAGGGGACCAACAGCTTGGGCCATCTTGTGTTGGTTTCCTAGGAGCATCAGTAGGAAGCTGGGCAGTTCTGGAGAAGACAGGGCTTGAACAGGCCCATATGGGATGCCAGCATTGCAAGCCACAGCTTAACCCATTGTGCCACAACACTAGACCCACCCACGCCCTGCTTCTTAATACTATCATAGTGGAAATTTTAGAGGGTACACATTCAAGCTATAGCAATAGGATTCTGATTTTTTTAATTTTAATATGAAATTTCCTCTCCTGCATGTCTATGGGGCAAGAATCTTGAAGAAAACCTGCTAAATACAAGCATCATTATTTCTTGATTGTAGGATTAAGAGTAATGACTGCTCCAATTCCCATCCAGCTCTCTGCTTGTGACCTGGGAAAGCAGCAGAAGATAGCCCAAAGCCTTGGGACCTTCACCCACATGGGAATCATGGAAGAAGCCCCTGGCTCCTGATTTCAGATTTGCTCAGTTCTGAATATTGCGGCCATTTGGGGAGTGAGCCAATGGATGGAAGATCTTCCTTCTCTCTGTAAATCTCCTTTTCAATCTAAAATAAATAAGCCTTAAAAGAGACAGAAAGGGGGAGGGGGAGGGGAGAAAGAGGGACCTATCTCTGTCCTAGTCTGCACTTGATCTTAGCCGAAAGGCCAGAAGAGATTATCTCTGTCCTGGTCTGGTTAAAGCCATCCAGGCGGGTGGGACAGAGTTACACCTGCTCTGAAGGAAGACACAATTGCTCCTGGGGCATGTAGAGCCAGAAGGTCTGTCATAGGGAGGGGAAATTAGCCTGCAGGTGAAGGTGGGAGATTAGAAAGCAGCTCTCCTAAAAGCACAGGAAGTGCTGAAAGGGAATTTCAGCAAAAATGACCCGGGTAGGCTGGGGATTTTAACTGCTGTCAAATCCCTTCCAAGACCCTAAGCACATACCATTACACCAGGTGTGGCTTCAAAATGTTCAGCACAGTGACAACTGGGCACAGGTGGCAGCTGGGCATCTGGAGCTTTGCACCTGGAGGGTGTCACCAAGCCTTAATGTAGCAGTGATGACATGGCCTTGGGCTCCTGTCAACCTCTCAGACTTCTGAACTCCAGCTCAGAGCTTTGAGTTCTTGCCACAAAGGTGCCTCCTCCCTCCCTTCCCCTTCAATGCATTGCCTTGGGACTTTCAGATTTCAAGTTTGCTCTGGAGGTGGAGGGCGGGGAAGTCCCCCCACCCCTCAACACACACCCGGATTCTGAACTTATGCAGCTTTCCTGTGCCCATCCCAGCAGCCTGCACATCTCAGCACTTGCCTTGATTTTACTTCATTGGAATTTATTTGTGTATTGGTTATGTGTTCTTCCCGAACAGGCTGGGAGTTCTAAGGAACATGATTAGGGCTGTGTTTCCCGCAGGATCCCCAGTGTTCTTCCCAATGTTCTTGGTGTGCTTGACTCTGGGGGGAGTCAATCCTGATATGTATCTGTGGCGTGGGTAGATGGCGCTCCCCTCACTTCCTGGTCATCTGAGCTGGCCGGCATCCCGCCGAAGGTGCGGAACAGATTCTAGAACACTCTGACTCCCTTGTGAGTACAGGGGCATCCAGGGAAATGGTTCTTAACCTTTCCAGGCTCACGGATCTCTTGTCTCCAAAGAACACAGGTGTGCACCCCTTTTTATGCTCATAGTTCCGATTACAAGTCAAAGGCGTGGCGCCTCTCCTCCGAGCCCCCAAATAGTAATACAACCCCTGGGAAACGACGGACTGAGGCTGCTTCAACACTGCAACTTTTTAGCGAGGAAACTGTTTAAAGCGATCTGCTTAAAAAGGCACGCGTTCTTGGAAAGTGCAATTTACTTTTAAAAAATCCCTTCTGGCCGGTCTACAAAACGCTCCCTCCCCACCCAGATCAGGAAAAGACAGCTTTTGAGGTTTTTCCTTCAAGTGTATCTGGAAGTGTTTTTGCCAGGTTTATAATAAGCGTTTGTCGAATGAATGACGGACACCGCCTGATCAGGAAAGCAGATGACAGTAATCAAGAGCTCTAGTTACAGGTTGGTGCCGGCGGGTACCAGCATGATTCCGGCCCACCACCCTGGTCCCGGCGGCGGACAGGTGTGGAGTCGCGCGCACAGGTGTGTTGGTACCTGCTGCCGCTGCTGCTACTGAGGCCGGCGCAGCGTGGGCGGGAACAAGGAGGGGGGGAAAGGGAGAGAAAAGGAGGAGGAAGGATAAGAGAAAGAGGAGAGTGAGAGGGAGAGGAATAAGGGAGGAAGGCACAGGGGAGGAGCGGCTAGGGTGGAGGGGAGCGGCGCGGGGAGGAGTCTGCAAACTTTCACTCCGAGGGCATTGTGGGAAGCAGCCATGGTCTGAGGCGGCCCCCTCACCTGTCAGCCGCGCGGGCTCCTGCGCTCGGCTCTGGCCCTCGGAGTCCACCGCGTTCGCCGGTCACAGGGCGGGGACTGCGGCAGCGCCACCATGGTGAGTACCTGCCGACCGCGCGGCGGCGCTGGCCCGGGGACGTGCGCGCTCTCGGGAGGCACCTGCGGCGCCGGGGCCGGGAGCGCGGCCGGGTCGGGGTGCAGGTAAGCCCCGCCCAGGCCCCCAGCCTGGCACGCCTGGATCCCCGCCGCTTGGGCAGCCGTGGGTTCCTCGCTAGGCAGTCTTGCTCAGGATTCTCTCGGCAACCTCGAGTTGAGGCTGCGTTCATTCGTTCGCTTGGAGCCTGGTCCACCAGGCGTGGTGCGGGGCGCTGGGGACGTCTCTGGGGACCCGGTGCGACTCCCGCCCTCAGGGAGTTTGCGGTTCTAAGAGGCGCTGGTGGAGGGCGGGTGCCTTGTGATGTACACGCAAAGTAACTTTGAAAGTAAAAGGAGGGCTCAGCAGCCTCACATGCCAAGCTTGCGAAAGGAAACTTTTGACTGAGAGAAGGCCTCCCTGGGGAGGGGGCTTTTACGGGGCTGGAGAACTGTAGAGGGAACGCGGAGCACGAGCTGAGTCAGGCGGGGAGGCCCCCTGAGGCAGGTCCTTAGAAGCTAAGTAAGGGCTTTTTTTTTTTGTTCAAGTGAAGCGGGGAGCGGGGAGCGTTGCAGCGGCCAGATTGCCTTCTTTGTGTGTGTGCCTGTGCTTTGGAAAGATCCCTTTGGCTGTTGGTAGGGAATGCACTGTATGTGTGCGCGTTGTGTGTGTGAGCATGTGGGACAGGATGCAAGCTGGAGAGAGGTGCTGGGATTGCACACGCTGGAAGCAGTTGGCAGGCTGCTGCTCTTGCTCTTGTCTCCTGAGCTGCGTGTTAAGGCACAGTGATGTGAACTGCTTGGGCGAGAGACCCCGCTGCCCACCGCGCCCAGACATCAGCAAGTGGGCACTGTGGGTGAGAGTGTGATTGACAGGGAGGACGCCAAGCCCCTGCACAGGAAGCCTGTGGTTGCTGGTTCCCAGGGCACTTGGGCTGCACACACACGGGGAGTTGCCCTTTTGCTGGCTGGAGGTTCCTTGTGATGCAAAAAAGAGGCTGTGTATATTGGTGCAGCTTCTTGTAAATCTGGCTCAAGTTTCCCGAGGAGCAGTGTTCGTGGTCCACCTTACTTCTCTTGTGGAGGTGGAATAAAGCCGCGAGTTTGAGTGGTCAAAGGCTGCTTCCATTCTGTGGGTTGGGTTGGGGGATGGGAGCAAGGGTTCCGTTTTGTGGGGAGGGGCAACACCTGCTGTCATGTTCGGTTTCTTCTTGTTACTGTCACTTGAGGAGTTGGTTAGAAATGCAGACCATGTTAGTATTGGTGGTCAGTTGTGATAACCCAGGAGATGTCTAACTCATTACCTCGGTTTGATCCTTGGGATAAGCAGGTGAGGCTGACTATCTTGTGCTTTGTATTTTGCTTGCTCTGAGCTCTTCTAGCAGTGCGTCTTTGGGCAATTCCTTCATCTTGCTCTCAGTTTGCTCATTGTGAAAAATAATTTTTGTTTATTTGAGGGAAAGAAGGATGGGGAGAGAGAGAGAAGAATGAGGGAGATCTTCCATCTTCTGTGGATCCTGCAGGCCTAAGGTCCTGCTGCCCCAGGAACTCTGTCCAGGTTTGCAGTGTATGTGGCAGGGACCCAAGAACTTGACTTATCACCTGTGGTCTCTGAGGTTTTGCCTCAGCAGAAAGCTAGAATTGGAAATGGAGGTGGATCTGGAACCTGGATGCTTGACTGGTTGATGAGGACACCCCAAACTTCATCTTGAATTTTTTGTTTAAAGATTTTATTTATTTTATTTGAAAGTCAGAGAGAGAGAGAGAGAGAGAGAGAGAGATCTTCCATCTTTGGTTCACTCCCCAAATGGCCAAAACAGCCAGGGCTGAGCTGATCTGAAGCTAGGATCCAGGAGCTTCTTGAGGGTCTCCTACATGGTTGCAGTGTTCCAAGAACTTGGGCCAAACTCGGCTGCTTTCCCAGCCCATAGCAAGGAACTGGAACAGAAATGGAGAGCTGGGACTAGAACTGGGGCCTGAATGGGGTGGTAGTACCACAGGCCAAAGATTAGCCTTATATGCCACTGTACTGACCCTCATATGTCATCTTAACCCAAACATCCGGCTCATCGCCCCTTTCTAATTGAGGATAATAATTGTTTTGAACTGATGAGGTAGGGGTTCTTTCTCACAGTGTAATGTAAGAGCACATGGAAGCTTTTCTGCAGGTTAGAACTATGTTCATAGCACAGGAAGACATTAATTTACCCTTTTAACTCTCAAAAGACTACAGTAAAATGACCTTGAGCCTGAGTGCCGGAAGTACAGAAATAGGAGAGAACCAGGTCTTCAGTTAGGCCTCTTGTGAATATATTTGCAAAATAAAACAATTCTCCTCTTTTCACTGGAAAAAAAAGATTCTTTTGGCTTTGTAACACAGTGCTATGGATCATTATGTATAATGGGCTTATTTTCATTTTAACTGAATTATAAAAATATCCAATGTTTCCCCTTTTAAGTTCTAATATAATAAATATCAGTTAACTCACAGAAACAAAACGGTCTCAGCTCTGAAGAGTGTAGTTCATCTGGAGTTGTGATGAGTACTGGGGCGTGTCCTCTCTGTTCCTGCTGCCACCTAGTAGGGAGCAGCAGGTGGCCCTGTCTGGTGTCCAGGAGCCTGGGGTCTTTGCTATGGAGCAGGCTGTGATTCCTCTTACCCCTGCTGCTCTAGCTCCTGACTCTTGCTTGCTTTTAGGGTAGGGAGCTGGAAGCTGCCTGCAGCACGCTGCCTGGAAACACAGCCAGTGGTCCTTGCTTCTGTCCTGCCAGCCCTTGGCAGTTTCAATCTCATGCTGTGCTGATATTTGCTCTGACCATTCGCTTCAGCTGTGCACATCTCCCTCTTGCCTTTATTTGAGAAATCTCTACTTTAGAAAACAATCCTGGGTATCTCAGGGGTCCTGAATCCACTGTGTTTCAAAGCTAATCTGGAAGAATTTACTGCGGACCTGTTGACAATGTTTTGTTATCACTGCTCTTTTATTTATTTATTTATCCCTTGAGAAGGTAGCTTGTGAGGGTTGACAGGGTTTGGAAAGCTTTGGGGATGCCTTTTGGAAAAATGCAAGTGAACTTTGATCGGTGAGTACCCTGTGCTTCTGACAAGTTGAGGTGACTGTTTAAACAATATTGGGAACAAAGTAGGAAAGTCACTTGCTGGAAGAAGCCCAGATGGCTACCCCTATGGAAATGTAACATTTTGTGTTGCAAATCATATCCTAATAATGCGTGTTATTTATACACAGTGAGATAGACTGCAGGCCAAAGGGATCAAGTGAGTGTGTGTATGTGTCTCTGTGTGTGATTTTAATTCCAATTTAGCGAGAGAACTTTCCATATTGAAGTTGCAGCAACCCAAGTGTATACATTCTCTTCACTCAGGTTAAAAACAAAAGCTTCCGCCATTCACTGTAGTTTAGCAGCTTACCCAGAAACAGCAAAGGTGCAGAGGAGTTGGGTGGAACCATTGAACTATGAACCTGTTGATCCTGCCTCGCCCCTCTATGTACCAATTTTATTGTGTGAGGCTTGAATGCTTTGTAATAAGCGTGGAGTCCTTTTGGCAATGTAAGTTCTGGTTTGCTGGTGAAGGAGTTTATTATAGTAATGAATGTTTTCCTCCTCTAAGGGTCAGTCTGGGCTATGGGTCAGGAGTTGCTGTGGGCTAGGGGGTTGGGAACAAGGCAGAAAAATAAGCCTTCATGGTGTTCACGAGGGCCCACCTGTAATAGGACCTTTCCATTGGTCTCCTGAACCCCATGAAGACTTGTGTCCTTCCTTTCAGGACTGGGACTTTGGAGTTCCATGACTCATTGTTTTGTGGTGCAAAGTTACTAGCTGCAATTTTTGTATGGCATTTTACTGCAGGAAGCACACTGCCCATTGGGTATACTATTTTGTCTGGTTTTTTTTTTCCTTGTGAAGTATTTGATTATTGACTAAGACACAGTAGACAAAGCTATTTTCCACCCCTCCTCAACACACACACACACACACACACACACACACACACACACACACACACAAAGTCCTTTAACAGATACCAGAGGCAAACATTTCTTGACAATTTGATTCTTACTGTAGCTCAAAACCCAAGACCGCTGTGGTTTCTCCCGAAGGATAATCCCCTGCTTCTCCTGTGGAAACTTTCCACCTGCCAAGCCTTGTCCTTCCCTCTTGCTACCGGATTCTCTTAAGTATACTAGCCACTTACAAAAGAAAACCCACTGCTTTTGGTGTGAAATAACGTGCCTAAGGGCAGAGGCAATGCCCACAACTTCCCTCCATGATGCTCCACAGTATCCAGCCAGAGAAGACGGATTTTCAACCTGGCTGCTAATGGTGGTAAATTGGGAATTTTAGCAGTGGAAATGGGAGTTAGCAAGTCATTAAAGTTAGAATTGGGCTGACAGTGATCACTAGGAGAAAGCTGGCCTTGGAAATATCCGTGCTGGAGTTCTGGAGCTGTGGCCCTTGTGACGTAGGCAGAGTAGGGATCTGGAGTAGCAAATAGTTTGTGAACACTATTACTGGGGGGGAAATAAGATGATGACAGTTACACATTCAGGGGAACAGGAGATAGTAGTCTAAAAATGTATTTAGCTGAGTATATTAACTATCATGTATGTATAAAGAATTGTTTCATATGTACATATGTATATATATTTATATATAGATCTAACTTTAAAAAAATTTTTTTTTTTATTTGCAAGGCAATGCCACAGAGACAGAGAGCAAGACTGAGAGAGTGCTATCTTCCATCTTCCAGTTCATTCTGGAAATGGCCAAAACAGCCAAGACAGGGCCAGGGAGAAGCCAGGACTTAGGAATTCCATCTGGGTCTCCTACATGTGTGAAGGTGGATCAGGCACTTGGTCATCTTCCCCTGCCTTTCTAGGTGCAATAGCAGGAAGCTGGATTGGAAGTAGAGCAACTGGGGCTCAAAAATGTGCACCAAATATG